GCGATCTCGAGCACTTCGTTCCAATGCGTGTGGGGGGCCATGCCGATCCTCACTCCGACGACTTTGTCGCCCAGGGCAGCCTGCAGCCGTTTCAGCGCATCCGTGTTGTTCGACAGCGACTTGGACGCGATGATGTAGACCCTGCTCGCCTTGACCGTGTTGGCGACGTGGTACGCACAGGCCTCATCGAAGCGGAGGCCCCAGCTGATGTATGGGATGTCGCGTCCCTCAAAGGCTGGTTCGAAGTGCTCAATGCCATACGAGAATGTCATCTTTGGTTCCTTCACACCCTTGTCGTCGGAGAGTGGCCACGTTTCACAGAGTGCGGCGAGTGGTCTCGGTATAGGTCACGTCACGAAGCGAGGTCCAATTGTGTCTCATCATAATAGTTTCCACAAGCAGCAGGGGGGGGTAGGATGGGTTGAAAGGCTGAAAGTGATGGGAGAGTATAAATCGCACGGTTGGAGAAAGTGTGGAGATTCAAGCGCGAGGGGTATCAGCGAGGCCGAGGATGGAGGCAGAGAAAAGCAATCTGAATACGAAGGGCCTTGTCCCGAGGGAGCAAGAGGGTTTTGGGACAGAACATACAAGGAGAGGGAGAAGGGGAGTTGGTTTGGTGGACCACTGAGATCAAAATCTCGCACAACGATTGCAAAAATGGCACCGGCGTCACGGTTACGCAGATGTGCAACGAACATGGCCGCGTACAGACACCATCTTCGCATCTGGTGGGCGCACCGGGCTATTCACCCATGGCGCAGAATCACGCAAATGTTGAAACGAGTTAATTGACATTGGTGTATCAATTCTCTCAATGTGCTGTCTGGCTCGGATATAAGTCCGCATGAGTCTTAGCTGGCCATCGCTCGTCCCGGACCGGTGTTCTCGACTTTTGTTTCCCCTGGAATTTGATACTCCATTAAAAATGTCAATTGCTCTTTGGTCTTGATGCCGTTTCCCTGCCTCAGGGGCAATTCACCGGTATAGCAAAGCGAACGCAATGTGCATCGGTGCATGCCACGGACAAGACTTTTTCGATTTGATGTTTGGAAGAAGTCGAGGTAGTAGAGAATAGGCGGCAGTGTGAGAACAAACTCGAGGCGAACCAGGCGCCTAATCGAAGAGACCAAAGCCCATATCCTCGTCGGATTCTTCCTTCTCTGTGGTGGCATTGTCAGTACATGTCTTTGCCCCAAGGGATGCTGCGCGGGACAGCAGAATATCTCGTTGGTAAGACGTACCCTCTTCCTTCTCCTCTTCCTTGGGAGCCTCATCGGCGGCAGCGGCGCCGCCAGCAGCAGCACCACCAGCCGGGGCAGCGGCCGCGGCACCACCACCTGATCCGACGTTGAGAAGCAGATCCTTCACATCCTTTCCTTCCAGGGCCTTGGCGAAGAGGGTAGCCCAGATGGGTTCGACGTCGACGACACCGGCGGCTTTGATGATGGTGTTGAGTTTATCGGCCTGCACGTCAAACACACAATGTTAGTCTGATGTCCCCTTCCCCTCTCAATCGATATCCTCAGTTTATTGTGCGAGGGACTTCGTACGGTGATTTCAATGCCGTCGTCGGCAAGAATGAGGGCAGCGTAGGCGCTGGCGAGCTCGGCGGTGGACATCTTGACGGTTTTGCTGAGGGAACTTGTCTGATTTGAGAGTTCAGAAAGGTTGGTGTCAAGAAAGTTGAAGTTGCGCGCAATTTCTCGAAAAACGCAGGGCCAAAGTTCCCGGAATTTGGTTGTGGGATCAAAAATGCCAAGGCCACAGTTTGCCCGGTCTAGACTAGGCTGTTCTAGGAAAGGGCGATGCCGCCTTTACCCCTCCTGCCCTCTCATCGAGTCCTCACAGTCACGTGAACAAAGTCTTGGCACCAGCCTCGGCGGTTAGCTGAAAGAGTTGTCCTTATCGCAAGCCTCCTGTGCAGTCCTGTGTATGTCAAGTATCTGTCTTGATCGTTAGAGTCTCCCATTGCAGCGGTCAACTTTCCACAAGTCTAGAAGCCCATGTGAACGTCAACCATATTTTGAATTCAGCACAAGCACCACCCCTGATCGGGTGGGTCCACGTTGCCGCATGAGATTTCCTCTTTCAGCCTTGCCTGTCTTGACCGAGACGCAACTCCACGGTATCCATATATGGATATACTCCGTTCCTTGCGTCGAGGTCAAGGCAGGGAAGACGACGAGTTCGACGACGCATGTCAAAAATGGCTTTACAAATTGTATCTCAAGGCCGAACCACCTGTCGTACACGATCCCCGCAGCAGGGATCCTCGACCTTTGCCTCTGGGAAAGCTGATCGAACTGGAACCAAAGCTGTTCTTCCCGCGTTCGGCTGTTCTTGAACTGGTGACCAGAGACATGCTGTGTGAACTGACAGAGTGTGCATGTCGAAGCTGTGTGTATGAAAGAGCTACTCCAGCCGAAGGCTACAGCGGCGGCCAAAGGACCAGGATCATCGATGCAGTCATGGGTGGAAGAGATGAATCAAAGATTATCGTGGCGGTCCTCCTCTACACGGATCAGATATCCCAGCTTTACCGACTGTATAGGACATTGCTCTCGGATGAAGGGATCGACGCACTCGATGGTAAAGAGGACATTGCCGAGGATGTCAGGGAGCGAATTCGATATGCGAAGCCCATGTTCAAAGTGGAACGGATTTCGCTTGATCGCCCTGCCCGAAACTTCCCCTCTGGTACTCGACTACCCTTTTTGAGTGAAGGGTCGCCCAAGAGTGGCTCGTTTGGAACAGTCTCCAAAATAGAAGTGCACCCAGAGTATCTTGGAGATGATGTCAAAGAGCTGATCAAGAGCTATGCGGGAGCACAATCGATAGTGGCTTCAGCAGATCAGAAGGTGAGTTAATTGGTCCCGATGACAAACTCCCCAAACCGACATTTATAGTTCTATATTGCCCGGAAAATGATTCAAGGAACTCGAGGCCAGACACTGGAACATTCTGTCCAGATGGAGCGAGACTTTCTCGACGTGATCCGCCAACAGAAAAAAGGCAAAGAAAATCTGATAGATTTGATCGCTTTCTACACGTTTGGGGATGAGATCAATATGCTTTTCCCTTATGTGGACTTGAATCTCCATGACTTGCTGTATCATGGTCACCTCCCACGCCACCTTTCTCAGAAACCGTTTCCCGACGACTGGATCAGTTTGGGCATCAGAGGCATGGCCCAAGGACTGTGCACGATCCACCATCCGCAAATGACACTGGATAATGACCGCAAGATTGTCGGATTCCACTTCGATCTCAAACCGAGGAACGTTCTCATCACCTGGAACGGGACGTTTAAGATTACCGACTTTGGCCAAGCGCTCATCAAGGTCGTCCGCATTGGCATAGAGCAGTACGGAGGAGACGGTGGCTATCGCGGGGGAGACCCAGAATACGCACCTCCCGAGTCGATGCCTTCTCGCCACCTGCTTGAATCTCGTCATACAAGTTCCGCAAGTCCTTCCTTCATCAACGGACAATTTGACTCGCGCGATCTCTTCAAATACGACATCTGGTCTCTGGCCTGTATCATGGTGCAATTATATACCTATGTCTGCCTTGGCAATGTCAGTGCAGTGACAGGGTTCGATGAGGATCGCAAAATGCACACGACCGGAGGCGACGTTGCACCGTACCACGTCGACACGTTCACGGGACCTGACCTCAACCCGGCCGTGACGACGCAACTCGAGAAGATTCTGGCATACGGTCTGAGCGTTGAATCCCCAGCTTTGCACACCTACATGGAAGAGCTTGTTAGGACAATGTCGCAAATGCTCGAAATCAATCCCTCCGAGCGCCCTACGTCCGGCGAGGTCGCCGAGCGCCTCACACTACTTTTGAACAACTACCTGGCTGCAAGAAACGACCCCAGTGGCGTGCTATTGGCAGCCAACAATGACGACCTGCGGGACATCCCTGCGGGCTACGTCGAGGTTGCCATGGATACGAATGGGACCTCTTTCGTGTCGCTGGAAGGGGTCCGCCTTGTGACTGCAGACTCCCAACAACAAAACACGGGGATCCCGTGCCGGTTGAGGTTGTTTCACCAGAAGGGCGGGTTTTGGATCAAGATCTGGTTCAAGAAGGCCTCCTCCAGACCGGACATAATTTCGAAGAGGCTACCCGAGGGGCAGACTGGGTTGCTCCATTCGGCGCTGCTCGACGGCGGCGGAGGCCGTGGCCACTGTCGAATCTTGAGGACGGGCGCCGACGGGTTCGAGATAGATTTGTCCTTTGAGAACGGCTTGCTGGAATTCCACATGGCAATCATCCAATATACACCGCGTTCCTTTGGGATCGTCGGCGGCGGCGGCGGGCCTGACGACGAGCTGCGGCAGTGTTACAGCCTGAGACACCCTGTCACTGTGTCAGCCAGACGTGACTTCTCCAGGGACCTGTCACCGATCCGGGACGGCGTCGAGGCGGCTTCGGTGCAGGTCTGGAAACGCAGGCGAATGACCTATGTCGACGGGACCTCGACAGCTCCGCCCGCCGCGGGGCTCAGGCTCATGGTCTTTTTCCAAAACCCCGCCGCGGTCCTACAGGTGCCGCTCAGATCTCGCCTGGGAACGGTCGAGGTTGAACGCCACGGCGCGACCAGCGTCATCACCTTCCGCGGCCTCTTGAGGGAGAGGTTCTTCACGCACGCGGAGAAACTCCAGCGCACAAACGATCGTCAGCTCCTACTGCCGATCGGATCGACGCATTATCCGCTAGGCAATATCTACAGGCAGGGGGACAATAACACTAGGGACGTGAAGATCGAGACGAGACATGAAGAAGGTGAGAGAGCGACCCCATTCTACCCGCCTCTGCGAAAAACAGGCTAACCGCGGCTCTATAGTCGTCTCGGATTTTGCAGCCCTCATCCAAGAAGTCCGGGATGGCAGGGAGATGATATCCTGGAGCGATCCCACCGTTGGCCCACGACGTATTTCCAACCGAAGCCGCAGTTCCACCAGCAGGAGTTAGCTTTCCCGCATCGGTCAGACGATGTTTGTAAACACGGGTGTGTTGGACGTCGCTGCTCCCTGGGCGACTTTTCTCCTCCCCAAGACCTCGCAGACAAGCAGGACCGAGAGCGCCAGCAGGATCAGTGGGAACGCTATGATGACCCACAGCCACACGTCCATGCTTGCCACGATGTGGAAGTTTCGGTCCTGGTCCACCGAGACGTAACCCATCTGCAGGAAGTCCTGGTTCCGAGTTTAGCAAAGCGAATTCCCGAAAGGCTGGAGAGTGCGCATACCGCAGCGAATGAGGCAGGCACATATATAAGGGCCACGATCGTGAGCACCTTGACTATGCGAGCCTCGTGGGAGCTCTTTGACGTGAGTTCGACTACTGCGCCGGTGCTGGTGCTCGTTGCGGTTGCTATCCTGTTATTGAGCTCAGAGTTCCGGAACGCGATGATGTCTTGCAACTGGTAAAGGTCAGCAAGGGAGTCCAGAGAAGCGTGTGCGTACGCGACCGGGGTGTCAACCGACCTGGCGAGACAGGTTGTTTCCGCGTGCCAACAACGACTCGGCCAGCCGTCGGAGAAAGTCATACTCGAGATGCACGGATTCGGCGAGATCTAGAAAGGCATCACGCCGCTCGACGGTTTCGTATCTGCGTGCGGCGTTGGTCATGCAGTGTATGATGGTGGAGTTGAGGGCGAGCACGTGCGATATTCTTAGTATCTGGTCGACGAGGTGTGTGAGGTCCTTCATCGAACTGATACATTGCTGCACCTTTTTGGAATCGCTGGCTGCGTCCGTCTCGATCGAGAACATGACGAGGACGTCGAACTAAACACCATTCGATCAGACGCTACACCAGTCTACAGGACCTGTTGGAGGCCAAACTCACCAGCTTCGTTATCTGTCCATCATAATAGTTCAGAGTGTGCCGCCAGTCCCCTGTCCCGGATGATATCAAGACGGTTTGCAGACCCAGCCAGTCGGCCGCCGTGGCAGCTCGAGATTCCGGCGAGGCGGTGAAGTTGTGTTTCAAGCGATTCGTCAGCTGAGTCGGCGCTCTAACGAGAATATGCGTGCTCTTCTGGGTCGTGCACGAGAAGTTCTGATAGACGAGGGCGTGGCGAATGGTCCATGGGTGTTGGGCATTCCCGTCGTCCCGCTGGACGTACTTCCACAGAAAGCAAGTTTCTAGCGCACCCACAAGGATCAGCGTCTCGCATACTTTTTTTTTGGCCCTGGCCAGGTCTCTCAGGTCTAGCGGGGGGTGTACCTAGGCCCTGACGTCTCCCGAGCCGGTCGACGTGCTCGGCGATGTCATACGCGGCAAAGCCCTCGTCGCGGGCAAAGTCTTTCTCGCCAAAGGCGGTCAAATGCTTGAGAAAGGCGGGGAAGACGCGGACGTGACGCAGGATTGAACGCATGCTCGCTTCGGACAGCATCAGGTGGCCCCAGCCGAAGGTGGGATTCAGGAGACTGTCAAGCAGGGAGGGAGGTTGTTAGAAGGAATTTGCTGCTTTCCACGATGAGGTGGTTGATATGTCCTGGGTGTAGAGTGTCGATGAAGGAAGAGGTGGTAATTAGGATTTGGAACGTACAAGAATGTAGATTTCGGCGACGTCGGCACCGCGCCCGTCCACGAGGCATTGTTGGTGGTGTTGATCTCGATCTCGCGTGAAGCCTTTTGTGTTGGTTGTATGTTACCGTCGAGTTCCTTATGCACGCCACTACCACTGCACTCCTCTTACTTACCCTCAGAAATTCTGCGACGGCGTGGTCATTTTGGAGGAGACATGTTCTGAATCCTATCGAGGAAAGACACAGTATCGAATCAGCTTCGGGCACAGTGACAGATAGACTAAGCAAAAAAGAACGTAATGCACAGTCCCACCCAAGGATTGGACCGTCCATAGCCGTTCCAAGTCAATAGGTTCATTCCACATATTCATACACATAGATGTAATATGTGTGGGGTATCCTCAGACACATTACATGAGATTACACGAGGAACATACCAATATCGTCAACCTCGCCCACCTGCACGCGAAAATACTCCGGTTCCGAGTCCGCGGGGAGGAAGATCCCCGGGCCTGCGTCGTCAAAGGCGCGCTGAGTCTCGTCGATCGATGAACCCAGCAACACGCTCTGTCGGGTGAGGGGGGAGTCTGGGGCGGGCCAGGGTAAGAGTTTCTCGTCCATTACTGCAGATCTGCGAGGGAGAGGAAGAGGTGGACTGAGGTCGTCAGCTGTGAGGGGGTTTAGGGGGATCTATTGGGTGCGAAATACACACTCAGACACAGACACAAACACAAATACGCTCAGAAGGGGAGGAGGGGGGTTTCAAGAAAGAGGATTATAATGAGAGAATGGCGGAGATCGTGCATGGTACATGAAGAAATAGAATTGGTGGTGGAATTGGGAGAGGAAAAGGGAAAGGAAATCAGGCTGTGAACGGCGAGGCGGGACGAGGCAGAAAAAGGTGGGAAGATGGTGAGGCTGAATCCATGCTATGCCACCACTTACCCAAGCATGCCATCTGCCAGCATTTGAGAGTCTCTTCTTCAAGGATTTAGAATATATGCTAAGTGAATTGTATGCGCCCACATAAAATATAGATGATGTCCATAGGTTGAGGTGTAGGTCTTGATTCTTGACTCTTGACCATTTACGCCTCGACTCCTCTACTCCGCCCCTGAAGCATCTCCCTAACAAGTACATTGATTAAACATATATATATCCTCCGGCTCCTCCCCCAAACCCAACCCAAATATATCCCTCCCCGACATGCGAAGAGATAGCCCTTCTTCGTGACAGCTTTACCAAGCATCCACAAGCGTGACCCCGGAACGCTGCTTAATCTCGCCGTGCTCCGAGACGGACAACTTCCTCGCCGCCGTCACCTCGTACATAGTATTGGCGCCGATCCTGATGGGCTGATTTTGTTTCGTGGATCAGTCAGCCAGTATTAACTTAACAACTCACAGAAACAGAAACAGAAACGAAAAAAAAAAACACAGTGAGACCAAGAAAAAGGACTACCCTGACGAACCTTCCAACGGTACTTGTTGCGCCCGAAAAGGTCGTCGAGATAACTCACCAGTGCCGAGGCGCTGATGTTGTATTTGACCAGGCTGACTTGGTCCATAATACTTTTGAGTGGGTGGTTATGCCGAGGTGGGTAAGTCGGGGTATTTGGGTATTTGGGTAGTTTGAGGTTCAAGTCAAGTCAAGTCAAGCTCAAGAACAAGTTCAAGGATAAGCTCATGCGGGGAGCGGGCAGCGGGAGCAGGCGAGGTGGTGGATGGTGGATGATAGTAACTGGATGGACGGCTTATGGGTGTTGCTTTACATATGATATGCTCTGTAAGTGACAAGGGGATCTAGTGGACAAGATGACAAGGGGGAGTATGGCTAGGGATATTATATATCCTCGGTGTCAGGTGGAAGAATTGAGAAGAGAGTGATCTATCAGAGCCCAGAATTGAGAGCGAAGAACCATTGCCATTTCCTTCCATCCTCCATCCTCAAGCCACCACCACCACCACCACAACACCCAACGCCGACGCCTCCACTACCACAGCTCCTGTTTCTGTTCAAAGTACACACATAAATGCAAAGGCAAAAAAGTCACTTGGTTGTTCACTTGAGACTGTGATATGATATGCCAGCCTGACAAACAGGAAGATCCTCCCAACAGCAGGCGACCCTCTCCACAACCACGACAAAGGGCGATTCTTGTCGGTCCTCGCCTACTAGTCCTCGTGCCTCATGCCTCACCAGCCCACCAAAACACAAGTACCATACCTAACTAAATCGATACGGGTAGGCGACAAGGGTCACACGAGCTTGAGCGTGGGCGTCAATGTGACGGGCGTGGCACTCTGGTTGCAGGCTGCACTACACTAAAGCCTCTAGCTAGCCACCCGCACCCGCAACTATCGAACGCCATCTACCGGGGGCGCAAAACAGAATGAGGCGCAGGAGAGAGGGGGAGAGACATCAGTGAGGGGGCATGGCATGGGAAAGGTAGTCAGTCACTGACTGTACGAGGTACAATATGGACATTGACTACTGCATAGCCTTGCTCTCGAAGCTTGCTCTTGAAAATCCGGTATCAACCACTGCGCCTCCTCCGTCTCAGACACCCCTTTCGAAATTCCTGCCACGCTTCCCCCCATCCGTGCTTGAAATCATGCCATCGTTCAACCGGGTGGTTCCCACTGTTATTCACAAACAGGCTCGTTCCGCCGCCGAGCCAGTACAGCATTCCCACCTGCGCCCGCTCGTCTCTCCTGTCGAACGCAATGTCGCGACGCCTCCCAAACCGCCGGACTTGTTCCAGTCGCCAGTCGTACCCTTCCCACTTGCTGATGGTCGGCCGAACACCCGCATACTGGGTCAAGCACCACCGCCAGAACCGCGGCTCCAGGCTTGAGCCAAACACGGCCAGATAGTAGCAAGTGCCCACAAGCATGACCCCAAACGTCGCGGCCGGAAGGACCCAGCCTTGCAGGGCATCCTCTTTGTCCAGAGCAACCGGATAAGGGAATGTCAGGCTCACGCTGGACCCCGAGTCCGTGCACGTCAAGGTCCTGCCGTCGGACGAGTTGCTCCACGTGCCTTGGGTAGGAAATCCATCTTGGTCCCGGTATGGAGGGATCACGCTGAGGATGATAACCCACAGATTCGCCAGTCCATACGCAACGCAGAAGAATGCCGGCACATATCGCCACCATCCCCGACATTTCCTCAACTTCAGGTCCCATTCCCACCCCTGGCTTTCGCCCCGCCCATCCACTTCCGTCTCGCTGTGGTGGTCTCCTCCATTGACTTCCTCGAGGTACCTGGTCCTTGATGGAAGCCTGAGGACCGCAAAGCCCATGATGGTCAGGATGATGCAGTGCGCATAAGTCTGGAGCAGTCCAGCCATACTGACCGACTCCAGCACAGTTTTGATAGACGCAGATGCGGCAATCAGGACCGTTGTCATGATCCCGTGAAGCGCGAGTCCACCTCTGGGTGCGAGATACTGGTCCAGCGCTTCCACATGACCTGAAGATGGCGAGTCACTCTTCCAGAAATGCGACCACGGGAAAACATTGCCCGACCCAATGCTTTGCTTGATGCGTGAGAAGGTGTAGATGATTGAGTTGAGGCTTCCGAGAGAAGAAATCGCAATGAAAACGGACCATGCCTTGTATGACGCCTCGTTATTACCGAAAAGCATCGGGGTGTAGTTGATCGCCACAGGAACGAATGGAATAGCCTTGAGAAAGGTCGCGACCAAGGCAATGTACAAGATGCTGACGACCGTGACTGCAAAGATGAACCCTTTGCGCAGCGTCACAGGGCTCTGTGGGTCGATTTCGCCGGCGACAAAAGTTGCATTCTCCCATCCTTCATACGAGAATATCACTAGGAGGAATGCTTTGGCCACCTGGATCTTGGACATGGTTGCTTCTGGTGGTCCACATTCTTGGAATCCTGCCCCCAGATATGTCCCGACCTGGATCGCGTGCCACCCAGCACAGAGCACGACCACCAGCAGCAGGATCTTGACGGCCGCCAAAATTTGGTTGAGCACGCGACCGGACTGGGGGGAGAAGTATTGTAGAAGACACAGAATAAGGAGGACCAGGAATGCAATCACCCGCAAAAAATCGCGATCGGGATCCTCTTGCGGATTGCGAGCGAATAGCACCAACCGCCCGATCTGCAGGCAGTTTGTGGCCGAGTTGAAGAAAGCCACGAATAAGAACGCATACTGCACGTATGCATACAAGCCGTCTCCCAGAAATCGTCTGATCCATGAGCGCCCGCGGCCCGAAGTCAGTTCATCAAGCTGCAAGTTTCTTCGTCAGCCCCGACTCACGATCGAATCTTCTTGAAGCATATTCGAGAGCCTCACTTACGTATACAAGTTCTCCCCCATTGTACGGCATGACAGTAGAACATTCCAAGTATATCAACATGCTATACAAGAGTCACCGTTTGCATCTTGCGAGGTCTCTCGTCCTTGTGCAACTTTACTCACCTGATCAACGTGTAGATCGAGCCTATCGCCCACAGCGTCATAGTAAGGCCCTTGTCGCCGGTGAGTACGAGCACCGTCGACACGTTGGTGTATATGCCCGTGCCAATCATCTTGTTGACGATCAGACTAAACACATCATAAGTCCCGAGCAGAGGGGCGTGTGCAACGGGCCTCGTCTGTGGGGGTTCGTCGACGTCCAACGACGGGCTGCGGGATCGCAGGTTTGTCATCTCTATGCCATTGGGACCATGTGGTGCCATGGTAGCGACGTGCCCGACCCAGTGGTTCCGATGCGCGGATACACAGCCTCACGCAAAATACCAGTGAATCACCGTCACTCTAGAACACCAAAGACGACTTTGCGCAACTGCAGGCGAGGACGCAGCATGCAAGGCAGGTGGAATAGGCGGATAAATAGATACCATCAGGCAGGAACGAACGAGACGAATAAGGATGAGCAGACATCTGTGTTATAGGGGGAAGCAACTTGCGACAAACTGGAACAGGGCGTTCTGCTAAAGTGAGGCGTTGGCGGCCATTTCGTGTCGTCAGGCTGAGCCAGGACCTCCCCGGCCATGGTCACCATGGTCATAATTTGGGGGTGAGTCCTGGTTCTTCCAACCGCAGTGTGATTTGGGCGAGTCTGGGCGAGTTTGGGTGCCGTTAGACGCCCACGCACGCCACCGAGTGTGCCTTGCGCACGTCGAGCAAAGGAAACGTCTTCTGCTAGAAAGGGTGGCTCGTGGTCGACTGGCCAGGGTCTGACTAGTGACCTGTCGAAAGTGAAGTGGACCATCTACACCGGTTGGGCGGATCCTAGCTCTTGCTCTCGTCATTGGACTGTTGCTTGTTCCAATTTAGCTAGACACCCCAAAACTTGAGATCTCGGTGCATGTTAGCTGCGCTCTAGACCGTGGGAGGCGCAGAATGGGGTTGCACAGGACATGGCACCCACATGGGACTCATGGTGGTGCTGATAAATCCAACTATTGTCTGGAGCTGTGGGCAACAGGGTGACGAAATTCGCTAGGATGAAAACGAGTTCCCTAGGGGAGGGCTCCTGTCAGGAATGCCTTATTGGAGATAGGCAGTACTCAGCGATAGATCGATTCCGTAGTAATAAGTATCCCTTTACGAGGTACGTATAGTAGTGACAAGACTCGAAGCATGAGAAAAGGATGCTTCTTGGGTGCGAGGAGCATACTTTTCTCCTTCCATTTATAAGTGGCTAAAAGTAGTTTAGGCCTATCCAGCTCGGTATCTTCCCGAGTGGCCTTTCAACCCCTTTTACTTAAGGCCGCGTAGGAGGATGCTTCTCTACTCTAAGTAGCATGCTCCTCTCGTGCGGTTCACTTCGGCTCCCTGCGCTGTTTATGATATATAATCGACGACAGCTACTAGTAGATAAAGATCTACATAGAGAACTACCGTAAATTTAAGCGGCGAGTCTTGTGGGCGGGTGCGGTTACAATACCACGTGACCCTATCTCCACCTCCACGTCACGTTGACACGGAGAATGACATGATGGGGGGAAGCGAACACCACGACATCCTGTCGAACAATATCAGTCCGACAAGAGGAAGCCCTCTCACAGACAAATGATACCAAATACTGGGTATTGAGGGCTATCATCGGCGTTGGAGGCAGCGGTGGACAGAGCAGTGGAGGAAGGAACTGTAACATCTGCTGAAGCGAGCAAGACAGACACAGAGAAACCAGGGGTAGAAGGAGCGACAAATAAAACCATGACAGGGAAATCAGAAGAGTAGTCAATTGGTAACTAGGGCACCTTGAACGCTTCGCGAAGCTTCTTGTCATAGATTTCCTTATCCTCGACTTTCTTCTTCACGAATGCATTGGCATTACATGTCCAATATGGGTAGGTGGAAGTATAAAAGTGCACATCGTCGTTATGTTCCTTGCAAAACCGTGGCTGGATCCTGTCGTAAAAGACCGAGTAGAGACCAGTAGGGCTTCTCAGAGCGAGTACGTACCAGAAAGTTCCAATATCCCAGCCAGTTTTCATGATCGACGAGTAAGGTACCCCGCTTTCCACCTGTGGTAGACGTTTCTCCTCTTCTTCAAAGATTTCCATAAACTCCTCCCGCCGCTTGTTATATTCTTCAACATTAATCTCATCCACAGCTTCACTCGTTAGCCAACTGGGTGGCTGTATGAATTCTGAAGGGAGAATTGCCATCCATTCGAGATCAATGAGACATTTGATATTCCAATCCTCATCCACAATTAGGTTATTGGCGGTCGTATCCGTTAACCGAGCGTAAAAAGGTCCATTATTAAGCTCAGGTCTGCAGAATTCTTGACGTACTGCTCTCATTATTGTTAGAGCAGACATCTGGGCCGCACAATCCGCCCCGTTATGGACCGCATTTGGTTGAAAGTGTAGGCGCTTATCATGACAGGATAGGAGAGCATTGATGTAGGAGTCGACAGTATTGTATGTCCGATCTCTTGGAATATCGATAGGGATTCCATTATTCTCCAGATCCTGTATCTCCAAGGTGAGAGGTCTATTTTCTAAGCGTACAAATCCTTGGTCGTCGATGATAAATGACCCAATGCAAGGGAAACCGACCCGGCTAATTCGCAATATGGTACGTGAGAGACTGCGAAATAGATTCTTCCTGAGTCGATCATCCGTCCGACCAGTTTCCCAGGTATTTGATAGCATCTGCCCTTGTTTTCGGTCGATATATTCTATGAGTAGGTATCCGCCTAACTCATTTGATAGACCGCATTTATGTGGAACCAGGTTAGAAGGGACAGGACGACCGAGCCAAGATAAGAACAGGCTTCGGAGGTGATGATATAGACGGACAAGGAGAGGGCGGTGCTCAACTGCGGTAAACTGATGGAAAGTCGGTTAGCTCTTTTCTTCTGCGCTGAGGCGTGAGGTGACATACACATTGGCCGCTTGAAAGCGCAAATCCATAGAGATGAGGGATCGGCACATCCGGACATTCGTCCTGCATCCACGCGTAGGTTGCAGCTTCACACCGAAGCTTTTCATCACCGTTTCTGGGACGTGCTGTGTCACCGACACGGTAAGGCAGCGGAAATCGAATGAGGACCAGTTTCAAGTCGGCGATAGTCACTGGAATGCATAAATTGAAGCTTCCATGCATCCAATCAGTCGAATGTGCGACACGACACACTGAGGGAGAGGGTAAACCAAGATGATGGGCAACTCGTTCCTGGATCAGCTTTCGCCGCTGGTCAATGAAGCTGTAAAATTGGAGTTGCGCATGAGGATATGTGAGATGGAGAAGGGTGTTTGTCTCTCTTCGTCTAGCCTCATCGTATGTGATTTTCCCGCGCAGAAGGGGGAGCGTTATGGGCATTGAAAATGTATGAGGAAAGAAAGGGAGTCTGCCTCCGCAGGAACTCAACTCCTGCAGTCTCCCTAGGGAATGATGTGTAGAGGGAAAGTACACCGAATATTGTCTATGTACACTGCGCCCTGGCCCCAGATAGAGGCCCGCTTTGAGTGTTGCTCAGGCTGAATGACATCATGGTCAGACACGTGCAGGGCTTGCTCAGGACGGCTCAGGTGCAAAGATGGAAATGGAAAGTCCTCGTGTCGAGATTCCGACCTCGAATTCCTTGTTTCTATACGGTCTTGTTGGTCATAAGGCTGAGACATGCTGTTGACATCATTCGGCTATGTGGTCAATTGTTGTGAGTCAGAGTCCTCCATGAACGGAATGCGACCAGCATGAGAGAGGGTCGTCCATGTGAGAATACGGGGACACACCGCGTCGCGAAAGGGGAGATTCGTTTGAAGCGAGCAGTACAAGGTAAAGGGGGAGTAGTTCGACTGCGGACGAGATTGGGTGAAACCGCCAAGACTTGTATATTCACGTGATGTACAGCACCAGCGAGCCTTGTCTTGACGAGGCTGAAAACTCAGACGCAGTTGGCGTCATTGCGGCTCTTCGCATTTCTCACAGGGATCCTCTCCAACCATTCGGGTGCTGATCCACAATTCTGGCATTGCTTCCCGTTTTAGGACAAGATAGCAAAATTCCTGAACAAGTCTACTCGTTAACCATCGCGTGAGGTGGTGGAAGCTTGGGTATAGGAGGGGCACCGTCGTTGTGCAACCAGCTGGTCCAGCAACGCGGGAACGGATTCCGACGACAATAGATATTTGCGACAGGGGGCACTATATCATGTCCTCGCCAGACTTGGAAATGCAGGCACTTCAGCGACTCAGAAGCCAATTCTCCCGAGCACTGAAGGACTTTGCTTCGTCGTCGTCTTCTTTCCGAATTTTGCACTCGGTCCCCACCCGAGCCACGGCTCCGACCTCTTCAGACCCGATAGTGACAAAGACGCTCTACCTGCTCGACTCGAGCTTCAATCCGCCTTCAAAGGCGCATACGAGTCTTGTGAAGACGGCGTTGAAGTCGCAAGATGCGCCGCCGCAGACAAAGCATCAGACTAAGCCGAGAGTCCTGTTTTTGCTGGCCACTGTCAACGCCGATAAGAAACCCAAGCCCGCCGACTTTGAGGACCGGCTTGTTATGATGACTCTCGCGGCCGAAGATCTGCGGTCTGGGTTCACGAGGGAGCCCATCTCGGCAGACTCGACTGCTGAAACTCCAGCCCCCATAGTCGACATTGGCATCACGAAAGAGCCCTATTTCGTCGACAAGGCTGCCGCGATTGACGCAAGCGGCATCTACCGTTCTCCCGGGTACAGTACTTCATCGACTCCGTCCTCCGGAGCAGCCGATGACGGCTTTGTCGAACAAATCCACCTCACAGGATTCGACACCCTGCTCCGAATCTTCGCCCCGAAATACTACCCAAACAACCACCCACCGCTGTCAGCTCTAGAGCCCTTCCTCCGCAGACACCGCTTACGGGCGACGATACGCGTCGACCCCAACAGTCCCTCGCAAAACCTCAAGGACGCGCAAAAGACCCAACCGGACTCAAAGCTGACAGCTAGCTCCGAAGGGTCTCCTGACCTCACGACAATCGCTGGTCAAGAGGCATACCTTGAAGGCATCAAGAACGGGGCGCTGGAAAAGGACGGGCTCAAGCGAGAGTGGGCGGAGAGGGTGGAATTGGGGTGGGATGATTCCGGAGAGACAGATGGCGTGAGTAGTACGAAGATACGCAACGCCATGAAGGATGGGAATTGGGGCGAGGTCGAAGGACTGGTAGGGCATAGGGTAGGAGAGTGGATCAGATATAGGGGTCTGTATGTATAGGGAGAAGATAGATGACTGGGAAGAGACTCTCTAGAAACCTCCGAGCTCGCCCTCTGCTTTTGCGTAGAGTCTTCATCTGGATGATGCTGGAGGCAAGAAATACTTCCATTACATCAACGACGAATCTCACCCTAAAGCCAAAGGAATCTGCGACCATGGCCCAAGCAAAACAAGAAACTGAAACCGAGCCGCGTTGAACTGCGCTCAACGCATTTTTTCGAGTACTTGATGGGAGCTACTATCTAAAGCTGGTTTCTACTAAGCTCATCAACTCTCTCTCAGCTTCATCTTCGGTTCCCTTTTCTTCTTTTCCCTCTTACCGCTATCTTTCTTGCTCCGGAACTGATCGTGGGATACTAAGACGCATTTCCATCCAAAATTGGACCTGGCTCCCAGTTCAACAACATTGTCTCCGCCACACCTCCTACCACCCACTGCCATGCCTCCACTCTGCAACGCAATCACAGCTCCTCGTCTTTATCCTCTGAAGCAGGACTCTCCTGTTTGGCCTCAGCGATCTCTTGAAGCAACCGCGTCAATCCAGGGCCGGGAGGCTCATATCGACGTTTGCCCATCACAGGTTGTTTTGGTTTGAGCTGTGGAGAATCATATTTCTGGCCCGCAGCCGCTTCCTTCGAGAGATGCCCGAAAACCTTGCGATCACCAATTAATGGCGACGAAGGACGGACGACAGGTACACGAGGAGGATTACTCGGACGAGCAGCTGGTTCATCAGCCCACTTGGAAGAGATAGCCTTGTTGCTCGTGACAACTGAAGAAGGTTGAGCAGCTGATTCGTCAACCCACTTGGGAGAGACAGCCTTGTTGCTCGTGACAACTGAAGAAGGACGAGCAGCTGGCTCATCAGCCCACTTGGAAAAGACAGTCTTGTTGCTCGTGACAACTGAAGAAGGTCGAGCAGCTGGCTTCGCTGTGGGAGGCGGGTTGCTGGTTTCTTTGCTGATAGTGGAAGAGACTTGCGATATGTTGGAGTTGTTTGTCGCCAGTGGCTCGCGAGGGGCGAACGGATTGTCAGGACGGCTGGCAAGAGGCGCAATAGCAGTAACAGAGGACGGGACAGTCAAGGTCGGCAAGGACCGCTGAGTGACTGGAACAGCATTGGGCAACGGCTTCGAAGGTAGAAGATCACCGACAAGGTTGGCAGTGGTATTGCTGAATTGTTCTATAATGGCCTTCTTGAGAGCGAACAACTCCGACTCGTGAACGTAGCGATGACCATGGACGATGACAACTTTAGCAGCTTGGGCTGGAAGCACCTGGCTGCTGACCTTGTCAGGGATAGGTGAGTCCAAGAGACTCCCACTGTCAGATAGTGGACTGGCCTGCAGGGCACTACCTGCGCTATGCACTGTTGCCATGGGAAGAGTGCCGGACAAAGTAGCATTTTCGATACCAAGGCCAATCAGATCATCGGTGACTGCTTGAATTGCAGTTGAAGACTTTTCATTTGTGGCTGAGGCCGAAAAGCCAGAAAGGGCCGCGGAGCTCGGAGTACCATCTGTATGAGTCGAGACATTGCCTGGAGCCAGAGAATGGGCCCTAGAGAAGGAGAGTTCACTGACCGGAACTCGACGAATAGAGGGGTCATGAAGATATCCATCGGAAATCTGTTCGGGGTGAACAGGAGGCATGGTCGAAGGTGCTGCCAAGGTCCCTTGAACTGCATTTGTGGCAGAAGTTGACATCCCAGGAGCTGCTGCCTGTGTCTCATGCAACCAGGTTGTCAATTTGCCTTTGATAGACGACATGAACTGTGACGGGTCTTCCACCAGGTTGAAGCTGTAAGGCTTGGCTGGTAGAGTAAGAGCACGTCGCTTGAGATCAGCTGCATTGACAGCGACGGCAGGGGCTGCGGGCATGGCAGACACCTTGATCGCACCCATTTTGATAGCTGGTTCATCGAGCTGCATAGCCCGCGCCTTAGATGCCGTGCCTTCGAGAGCTGGCGGAGGCAAGGGTCCTACGTGCGCCCCTTTACCGAGTTCCCAAAACCCTGAGTCCTTGGGCACAGCAGGAACTGGACGCGCACTTAGGATTGATTGAGTCAAAGACCTTGTCCAGGTTAACCATGAAGTAAGGGAGCATTAGATATAGTACTCACGCTGCCGCAGGGCGAGCATGAAGAGAAGCAACTCTCTTCCCAGCTCGTCGATTGCCACCATACTCGTTGTATGTATCTGCGAGGCTAAGCTTATGGCCTAGACGTGCCTCCTCTTCTTTCTTCTGTTCCTCCAAGGCATGACGATGTTTATTGCCATTGCTGATTTGTTTTTGGTTAAAAAGAACGTCAACGGCTTCGTCGCTCTGTCCGAACGCTAGAAAAACATCAGACCATGGACATTGAACATCAGCAAGCTTCCTCACTCTGCCACTTGGCCGTTGGCGCTTTATGAGCGCTAGCAATTCGAGCTGCTTCAGTACCTTCGATGTTGCATTCTGGCGTGATAGAGAGCGTAGTAAATAGACGGGGACGGTTGGGGTAGTCGCTCGTCTTGATCGCGTCTGCGTTTTTCTCGCACAGATCCATCTGGAAAAGGAGTTCAGTTAGAATGCTTTGGCAGTGTGCTTCAAGATTAACCTACCCGCTGAATCATTTTCAAATGATGGTCCTTCTGGGTGTTTGGGGACATCGGTGGTAAAGCTTCCTCCTCGGATTCATCATGCTCGCTCTTTACGTAGCGACGTGATACTCGCGGCATGTTGAGCCTCAAAAGGTCCTTAAAGGACTTGATCTGACTGCTTCGCAGGGAAATGAGCAAGTAGACTGTCCAAGGTCATTTGAAAAGGGTTAGCCAGCGGGATTTGAGTATACTGCTACTAAGAGACAGAACTAACCCACAAAAGTTTGATCCGTGCCCCCGTCCCCTCAAGTCAGGGATGCCGGAGGGCAAGAGTAAGGATTACTGGATGGGATGCAGGATAGAACAAAGCTCTCGAGGGTCAATCAAGGGGAGGTAGATGAAGAAGAGGATACGGGAGAGGGTGAGGTGGTAAGGAGGGAGAAGGAAGCGAGCGCAGGGGGGAATTTCAAGATCAATTTCAAGAAGCAAAGTGTGAAGAGCTTGGCAAATAGTGACAGATTGATTTCAGTGTGTTCCGGAATCCTGGACGAGGGGAAGCGAGGAGAAAACAACGAAACCGCGTGGTATGGTGGTGGAAAATTGTTGTCAACGGGCGCGGGCGCAGATGTGTGCGCGGCGGAAGCAGCGCCAGCGATAGAGATAGCCAAGGACTCAACCACGACAAACAACTCTGCACTGAAGACGGCTTCACAACAGACGGCCGAGGAGATAGCAGCAAACATTTATTGTGAACAGTGGCGAGAGAGCAAGCCAGAGCGAGCGACCAAGGCTCTGGTATAGTTGTGAGTGGCGAGGCATGGGTACTTCAGAACGACAAGGCATCTTGCAGTCGCATGCTTTCACCCGGTATGAAAACAATCTCTTCGTTTCTGTCTGGACAATCAATTGACAAGGGTTGTCGATGTTGCAGGACGATAGGTTGACCTGATCTCAAGTACATCTCCAAGCTCAAGCCCCCAAGCCTGCACGGGGCGAGAGGTTGCCCCTGCCTCCAAAGACAGAGTCCTGAGGTTATCATGCTGAAGAAAAGTCCCAACACACAACGACACCGTCAAACATCAGTTATCCTGATCAAACCACGTTCGCCCTTCTCTTGCTATGTGTAGCACGCACACAAGGAGTACCAAGTCCATGACCTGTTCACCCACCGTATCATTGAGAGCACTTCCACCACTCGCGGGCTGCTCTCTACCAGAACTGACTGCTCCTCAAAGAACCCACCATACCTCAGTTGAACCCAAACAAGTCTCATATCAGCGCACAATCTGATCGTTGGACAATGCAGTGAAGATGGCGGAATTCCACACAGCAGACAAAAATGCATCGTGTCGAGAAAACAGTCGGAGGAAAGGGAAATGGCAAGCGTTGCGCCGGGCGTCCAGCGAGTCACCAGGGGTTCTGGACCCTTTGTGATGCTTTGATGAGTGGTGGAGTCAATAGCTTCGATGAATCCGAACCCCCGGCCATTTTTAGCAACTGGTCAGCCTCAAGATTGATGGGGAGGGCGGAATTTGGTTAGCATCCGGACCAGTGGATCACCAAACGAGATACGACTCCGTCGGAGAACGAGATATCAAGAATACGGAGATCATACGAGCAGTCAGCCCGATATTGTTATCTGGACGGACTGTCATGTGTTCTGAGCGCTGATCAGGAACATCCTGTGCACCTCATACCGATGTGTTCCCGCAAAGTGGCTATATGTTCTGCCGGGTCTCAGGAACAACTGTTCAGATACTTTCCAGCCAAGATACCCCGGACAATGCTTGCCGGTGGGAGAAACATCTGGGGACTCTATGATTGGAGCGACAAGTAGCCAGGACCAGAGTCTGTATTACTTCCTGCGCATCCCATTTGTCATCGGCTCCATGTCCCCTTGATGTCCAAACACTTCTGGGCGCAGTGTGTGCTCTGTAGGCACTCACCGCTTTTGCAATCACACGCAAAATGAGCAAAGATGCATGCGAGGCATGGTACTTTGCCATGGGTGGGAAGGATTAGTCGGTGTTGAGAACTCCACCGGATCCCCAAATTGGTCTAGAGGGTCACAATGCGGAGACCGAAGCTGCAACTTGGCTGGGCTCAACGCTTAAAGGGCCCTGGTTGCCGTAGCCCAAATCCCCCCATCTCCCCCAATCCCGCCGCCTAGTGGCCGTGGAATGGCCATTGACAGCCCCCGGAGCCACTGGACCGCCATTAGCGAACCCTCTCCATTGAACACCGAATGATGAATGAGATAACTTAACGAGCTGTGCTTCATAAGGCCAACATCATCTCCCCCCGGACGTAGCTATATTCCTTTCCCTGCTGTCTGTTATTTTGGCTTCCCTTCGTACACCGACGAACCCGCCTCCTCTTACACATCACCAACACCCGACAGTGACCGCTATTTCACTCCCGCTTCACCGATATTTTGTGTAGTCCCCCGCCCTTCAAGAATCATTCCACACCTTCACTTCAGCATATGAACCCTCCTCAGGACTACATCGATCACAACATCTTCCACACGATTCATTAACATCCTCAACCACCCAGCATCTCCCTATACCTGTCAAAGCTATAATCTACAATCCTATCAATCACCATGGCCGCCCCCCGAGCATCCTCATTCAAAGCCCTGCGCAACCTCCAGCGTACATCCGCTACGACCCCTGCCAAACGGAGTCTTCACATTACTGGTGTCCATGCTTCTCCAAGACCCATTGATCCCAACCATAAGAGCACCTATGTGCCATGGTCTCTGCAGGACCTTCGTCAGGAGTGCCAAAAACGAACCCTTTCAGCTTCTGGCACCAAGCACGAGCTCATTGATCGACTGGCTGGTCACGACAGTTTGCAGGCGAGAGCATTCTCCATTGCTATGAAACGGATTGCCATCGAACAGACGAAGAAACCAGTCTCAGGGTATGTTCCCTCGCATTCTTAATCCAAATGATAGAATTGTAACTGACCGCATCATCAGTCCCTCGGAAACTGGCCCCCAACGACACTTCAATACCTCCCGCTCACTCAAGGCCGTGGGTGACACATCCACCATCGACTTTGCTTACCTCCCCAAGCTACACGAAGAATCTTGGCGACCCAGCCCTCCGTCAATCCGTGTTCCTATCCTACCTTACATCCAATCCGAGCAGGCCGAAGCCATCTTGGAGAGGCACCCGGAACTTGACGCTGCTGCTGGAGGGTATCAAGATACTCAAGGTTATGAGACGATTATGAAGCCACAAATCTTCAGCGTGGGGGATGTCGCTGGCGGACCGGCAAGTGCCATGAGTGATGTGCACGATGGCCATCATCCCACTGAATTGTCGGTGGAGATGCTCACAGCTCTCACGGAGACGGTGGGCAAGAGTGCTCGCCAATTTGTGGACATGGTCAAAGATAAGGACCAGGCGACGATCCGCAAGATCTGGACTGGGTTCCTTGACGATCTCTTCGGTCAACAGGGCAAGACAGCCAAGCCATAACCAGGGTCGGGTGTTGAAGCAATGGACAATCCCGTTGCAACTGTCATGATAGCGTTGTAGCACGAGCGCCGTGTGCCCCTTTCCCTCCTTTTGTGACTTATACCATATTATCTGTTGTCGGTCGGGGGTGACGATGTATAGTTTCTTTTAATCAAAGCGCTCAGCGCGTCTTTCCTTATATTGGAGATGTGTGTCGTCTGCCATTTGTTGTCTTTGGCGGTGGCAGTGCAAGCAGCCGGGTGTTTCTGACGCGACTCCACATAACCCAGATGACTAGAGATGATACCCGCTCTTCGACTCCACAAAGCCCTCTTCCAGCTCATGCTGCCGGCCATTCCATTCTGTTGTCCCCCTTTCGCAGGCACTCGAGCCTCGCTTTGCACCTTTCTTGGGCCCGTGTGTCCAATTGAACCCGCGAACTGCTATACCAGTAGACCCTGAAATGTCTGACCTACCGAGTACTCTTGTAGCGAGGCATCAGATCTTTAGGTAGAAGGATCTCGCTCTACCCCTGTCTGGGTGGCCTTGCTTCGGGAGCGGCCCAACACCAGACATCTGGCAATAATGAGGGACCAGCCCGTGGATTGTGCTTCTCGACCCAACCTACAAAGGGGTTGGGCCCAAGCCCGAGCCTTGACTGACGCCAAAAGTCCCCCTGCCACGGCGCCATCTGGGTTCGAAGCGCATTCTTAGGGACCAATGGAGTGAGCACGAAAAGGATCGTCAGGTACGCGAACTGGTCCCTCTGCTCCATACGGGGGTTTTTGCCCCCTAGATGACGACCCGCTCCCGCATGCACTGATGCACTGATGCACTTGGCATGGCGACGCAGTGGCTTCAAGAGTTATGTGGTGGGCACCATTGAGTTCAACCTCTTGGAAGAACTTCAAAGAGACATGCCTTTTTCAGATTCTCATTCTCTCTTTCTTGCCAGTATCCTTTACTCCCCCAGTATTATAGCTGTGCATCTGTCCCCGAGCTGGATTGTGGGATCTCTTGACTGAGAATTCCTCGAGCTCTGTCTGTGGCCATCACTGTATTGTCTATCTCACTTCTTCCATTCCTCGATTGAACTTGGGCAGGATACCAGATCGAGGCTACAACCTTTTACAATCGCTTGATTTGGACAGGCTCCTCTTCGGCTCGATACGACATACGTCCGACATACACCAATGGAGTGATTTTGCTTTTCGCACGACACAGATAAACCATGCATCGTCGTTGGTTATCCGTGCCCTTGCTGTCTAGCTGTGTCTCTGCATTCTATCCCTACCATACTGGCGATGGCCGCCATGAGAACAACAAGAGGTTCATTCCTTTGGGCATTGAGCCAGTGCACGAAGGGGACTCAGGTCCGGTGACCATTGACATCAAGAAGGCTATGGTGAGTACAAGACTCGGTAGCGCGCGATCTGGAAGCTGTCTAATCCAGATGATAGCTGAAACGGAACAATCTGTTCCCCGTCCTCAACTCGTCTGCCCCCGACGTCCCTAATGCTATGGCCATTAACCAAGACGGCTCCGACTACACCTACTTCTCCACCATGAAATTTGGGTCCAAGGGTCAAGAGATGTACATGTTGATTGATAGCGGTTCAGCTAATACCTGGGTTATGGGCACAAATTGCAAGTCGAATGCATGTCAAATACATAACACATACGGCAGTGAAGATTCGACCACCCTCGAGACAACCACTCAAACATGGAGCATGACCTACGGCACTGGAGAAGTTGAAGGGGTGGTGGTCAAAGACACGGTGCAGTTGGCCAACTACTCGATAGAGCTGGGCTTTGGCCTCGCATCTTCAGCGTCGGATGATTTCAATAACTATCCCATGGACGGTATTCTGGGACTTGGACGACCCGCCTCAGACGCATTGGGTTCACCAACAGTCATGCAGGTATTGGATGATAAAGGCCATTTGTCGTCGAATATCCTGGGCATCCACCTACAACGAAGCTCTGACGGGACCAATGATGGACAAATTACCTTTGGAGGGATCGACTCGTCCAGATTCAATGGCAAACTGTCATATTCCAAAACAATTAACAGCAACAGCTGGCAGATCAACGCGGACGATGCAGGCGTGGACGGCAAGTCGGTGCGCTTCAAATCCAAAACCGCCATGATTGATACCGGGACATCGTACATCCTGCTGCCTCCCGACGACGCCGAAGCATTGCATGAACTTATCCCTGGCAGTGATGCAAGCGGTGAAACCTTCACGATACCTTGTTCCTCTTCAGCCAATGTCTATTTCACCATCTCCGGCGTGAAATACTCGGTATCCCCCAAAGACTATGTCGGCAAGCCAACCGGCAGCAGTGGGAGCTGTCAGAGTAACATAATCGGGCACCAGGCGTTCGGGCCGGACGATTGGATCCTGGGGGATGTGTTTCTCAAGAACGTCTACACAGTCTTGGACTTTGACAATGCGAGGGTCGGGTTCGGCACGAAATCAGGAGCGGGTTCTGCCGGTGACAACACTGCCACCACCTCTGGCTCGACATTGTCGGCAACAAGCGGCGCTCGCTCGTCAAGTGCTTCTGCATCGACCTCGGGCTCCGGCCCAGCATCGAAATCCCAGACGACAATTTCAACCTCGATAACGTCAAAACCGAGCACGCTGGCTTCTACAGTCGGTGCTGGAGCTCCGTCCGCGTCGTCCACAGGAGCAAGCGACAGCAGCCCCTTTGGAGAATCCAGCGGCTCAGGTTCTTCTTCCTCTTCTTCATCATCAACCTACACCGCGGCGGACTCAAGAGCCAACCTTCTATTGCCGCTGATAGCATTCGCATTCATTGCAGGATTAATTCTATGATGGGGGATCCTCCTCTGAACAACAGACATCTTTTTATTGTGTGGGTTTTTAATGCTGGCCCATGTCGTGCTCCAGGTTTGATGTTTGATATGTGAAAGAGAATGGGAGAAAGATCTCAGCGAGAGAGAAAGAGGGAGAGAACACGAGAGAGAGAGGAAGCAATAACCAGGAACACGAACGAATACACGGCGACTTTTTGCAGCGCATCTATCATCAGCATTCATGGGAAAACCCCAGGGAGAAGAGGTCCGATTGTGTGTCCTACTTACTACCCTCACTCAGCATTGTACAGCAGTTTTAGTGTTAATTGTTTAGTTTCTAGAGCTTTTGAAGCGAAAAGACAGGCTACCAGTCCTGCAGAAGAAGGGAAAATCCAAAATGATGGTTTTTCTCTTGTCCAACGAGTTTTGCTCTCAACAAGTTTTCTCTCAAATAATCTGGTGATAGACACGCAAGGAAGGGATCAAGTCGCTAGATCTGCGAGGACACTATCACACCAAAGCGGAGTTTCCTGGGCCGACTGTTTTATCGGTGCCCTGTCTCACAGAGATGAATCTCACCTGCTCCGAGCCAGATTGAGTCGCCTCGAGCATTTTCAGGTACACGAACAGGGCACCACTCACAGCGAATTTGCCCCTTCTGATTAGCTCAAGCGGCGGACATGCCTTTGTCGACCCTCAACTCGGCGCCATTCACGCCAGTGCCGCCGGCCAAGTACAGAATCGCCCTCGCCATATCTTCCGGCGCACAGTTCCCCACGGAAATCGCCATTACCGGCATCACGGTATCCAGGCCGACCTTGTCTGGGACAGAATTACTGTTCTTCATGATTTCCGTGGTCACGCCGCCGGGAAGCAGCACGTTGCATTGAATCCCCTCCTTGGCGTACATCCAGGCTGTGTTGCGTGAGAGCCCAAGCAGGGCGTGCTTGGAGGTTGTGTAGGCGACTCCGGCGGCGCCGCCCCTGATCGAAGCCACGGACCCGACGTTGACGATGCGGCCCTTCTGTTCTTCGTTCGTCTTGGTCAGGAAGTGGTTGATGCAGGTGCGCATCGTGTTGAAGGGTCCATTGACGTTTATGTTCATGACACGATTCCACATCTCGTTAGACACATCGCCGACTCGTTCTAGACACCGGAGGCAAGTGTATTAGTTGTCCAGCAGAAACTGGACCACAGGGGCAAACTCTGTTTGAGAAGGGTGAGCCTGTCTTACCAAACTGGTCCATGACCCCGGCAACGTTGACTAGGACGTCAATAGTGGACCATTTGTCCAGTACCTGCTTAATTGCTGCATTCACAGAGTCTTCCGAAGAGACGTCACATTTGATATTGAGCTGTTGTGCGTCGGGTGAGGCTGCGGTGTCTGCAATGTCTAGTGCTGCGACTTTCGCGCCGTGCTCCAGAAATAATTGAGCTGTTGCTGCGCCAATTCCATTCGATGCCCCAGTCAGGACGATCACCTGTAAATCAAGAGTAGATCAGCATACATGCGGTATCGACACGTTCCTTGCGAAGGGAAATGGTGGTCTTGCTTTCATCTTTGGGCAATGGAGCGTTTGGCGTACCTTGTCCTTGAAATTCCCCATTGTGAGAGGATTGGCAGTGAAGGGTATCGGTGAAGAAGTGCGTCCCAAGACGTTGTTTATGATGAGCACAGCACCTCTGCGTGCACTTTGCAGAACGATCAAGTTGAATGTTCAATGGTATGTGAAACCTTGCCAGATCATTCTATCGTCTGCTTTACGTCTTCGCATTGACGATTAAGGTAGAGTTGATAAGCAATAGCTAAGCCAGTGAAGCTCAGCATAGAGAAGTGGCTCGCCAATTCCGAATGGCCTGAGGTCCGATCAACATTTCAGGCCCTTTGGGTTCGGAATCGGAAGTGGTTTGGGGGCCTTGATTGATGCGGGGTCATTATGCACAAGTTATGACTCGTGAAGGCGAGCCGCATATGTCCCAATTCTCAGGAAGCTCGCAGTGAGAGCTAGGAAATCTGCTGGGGAAGCAGGACCATCATGGGTGAAGACTGCGCCCAAAGACCATGGAGGACCGACGTCAAAGCTGCGAGGCGGGTTGAAGTGTAAGACTGAGCCGCTGGTATGTATCTTTTGGGAGACAACAACACGCTGCCAGGCCTGCTGCTAGACATGGCCCCGAAAGCACCGTGGACTGAAAACTGGGGATGCTAATAGCATGTAGAGAGTCGGTCTTGTCAATTGATCATGGCGACAACACGGAGCATATACACGTTCCGGAAGTGTCATGGCCTTGTCTTAGTGCTCGTCCGTAGCGGCTGAGCAGACGGACATCGTTGCGCAGTCAAGGCACGTGTTGGCTGAGCCTCGACTTGTATCGTGCATGCCTCGTAAACATCCCAAGGATGACAGCTTCACCCTTCCAACAGAACTCTCGTCGATAAGTCGTTGGATTGGCCGGCAGACGAGATGAAATTGGTGCGAGATGACCGCAGATGACGAAGATTCTAATGGATCTGTTCACAACCTCGCCAATGGCAAGATCGACGACTACAGGCATCTCCTTGGATCTACAGAGGACACGCCGGCCTGGAGTGCAGAGTCTCCTACCGACTCAGTCAACAATGACACTCGACCCCCCTCGCTGAGGCAGTCCTCCCTCTCCCACCCTCGACCCGATGGCACTCCCCGAACGACGAACCGAGTGCGGTTCGACATCGACGAGTCATCGAATACCCAAGCTCGAGAAGATTGGGTTGAAGAGGAGGATTACCTCACTTCTCCCAGCCAGCATGCTCCTCTATTGACAGACATCACTCCCCCAACCGAGTCTCCCTTTCTCTCCGAATCCTTTCAGCCAGAAGACCACTTGCCTGATGCTAGACCCAAGAGTGGAATGCGCAGTGCGTTTATGAACATGGCCAATTCGATCATTGGGGCGGGGATTATAGGCCAGCCGTATGCATTTCGGCAAGCTGGCATGACCATGGGAATAATACTGCTGGTATCGCTGACAGTCACGGTGGACTGGACGATTCGCTTGATCGTCATCAACAGCAAACTGTCGGGAGCAGATTCCTTTCAGGCGACCATGCAGCATTGCTTTGGGTCCAGTGGGTTGGTCGCCATTTCGGTTGCACAGTGGGCGTTCGCATTTGGCGGCATGATTGCTTTTTGTATAATTGTTGGAGACACCATCCCGCACGTTATCGAAGCATTGATCCCCGGACTGAGGGATATCCCATTTCTATGGCTTCTGACCGACCGAAGAGCTGTCATAGTCCTTTTCATTCTGACTATCAGCTGGCCGTTGAGTCTTTACAGGGATATTGCAAAGGTGTCTCTCTCCCAATGCGCACGCGGGGAATAAAGCTAACGGCCGCAGCTCGCAAAAGCATCTACACTGGCGTTGATCAGCATGATGATCATCATTGTGACGGTTGTCACGCAGGGAGCCATTGTCGATTCGGAACTGCGGGGGAGTCTGAAAGGGCTGCTCTTCGTCAATGATGGATTCTTTCAGGCCGTTGGAGTGATTTCGTTTGGTACGGTCCCTGTATATGTGGTTACCCGCAGCTAATCTGTCTAGCTTTTGTCTGCCATCATAATTCCCTACTGATCTACGGCTCTCTCAAAACACCTACCCTAGACCGATTTTCCACTGTGACCCATTACAGCACCTTCATCTCCCTGATTGCCTGCCTCGTCATGGCTCTAGCGGGGTTTCTCACGTTTGGCGACAAGACCAAGGGCAACGTCTTGAACAATTTCCCGTCGCAGGGGCATGTGGTGGTTCAGATCGCCCGATTGTGTTTTGGGCTCAACATGCTCACCACCCTTCCCCTCGAGTGTTTTGTTTGCAGAGAAGTCATGAACAACTATTGGTTTCCCGAGGAGCCCTACCAACCCAACCGACATTTAATCTTTAGCAGCGCCCTTGTGGTCAGTGCCATGGCCATCAGCTTGATCACGTGTGACCTGGGGGCCGTTTTCGAGCTGATCGGGGCGACGAGTGCGTGTGCGCTGGCTTACATTCTACCGCCGTTGTGTTATATCAAGCTCAGCACTAGAAGCTGGAAGACGATACCAGCCGTGGCCTGCATTGTGTTTGGATTTGCGGTCATGGGTGTGAGTTTGGTGCTGGCCATGAAGAAGATGATCAAAAGTGGGTGTTCATTTGGTACCGTCAAGGTTCACATTGCTGACTAGATTTCCACAGACGAGGAGGAGCCCCATCAGTGTTAGATTAATAGAGATGATGAAGGCAGACTTCGTTGCAACGGCATCACCCACCCTGTTCCCTATATAGACCGGAGCGAGCAACAGGCAGGTACGTTTTCCTCCTTTAGCAACAGCGGACAGGGGTATCGATTTCAAGTCATTGGCTTATTTGTCTTGGATAGCATCATACTCCCGAAATGTGATCCAGCCTAAACAAGAATCTGAAATACTATTTCAATTGAGGCAGTTGGTCTCGACGCTTATAGAGAAGCAATTTTCAGTACAAATGCCCAAAAGTGAGCTGATGTCCATGAAGCAATGTATTGGATCATGTACATTCACAGGAAACCGTGGTTACAACCCGCCGGATACACCAAAAGCCTGGACGGGTCTTTTTTTTTGGATCGTCGGTTTACCGTCGACGACGAGGGTGTCGGCACCGACGGTATCAAACCCCTGTGAACCAACTCCTGAGAATCCTTTATCGCGTGGACTGCTTGATAACTTTCATGAAATTGGATTATGAACGCCTTCGCGACGATCAGTGTGCATGTTGGTCCGCTAAAGGGGAAGATGTGCTCTCGTGGTCGGTGAGCACAAAAGCCGACAACAGATGAGTCTTTACTCCATGTCCGTAAATAGAAGCCCGAGCCTCACGAGCCTCAGGGGCCGCTTATTGACAAGGCTTCCACTAAAATGGTCTCCGAGTCAATCATAGACAAGCTCCTCCGCTCTCCCCGAGACTGCAGAGAGAAATTAAAAGAAAAGGGAGAATGGGGAATGGAGAATAAAAGGATCTTCGTTGCTTAATTATTATGGGGCTGAAGTCGCGCGATAGAGTGCCACGAGAGCGAAACCTTGAGCAACACGACTCAGACGCGGGCCAAAGGTCGTGTATCCGACGGACGCGAAGCGCGCTCTTCCGAAATGACTTGCATACAATTTGCGCTACACGTAGGCACACGTGTGTGCAGATTAGCGATCGGGTGAGTCGCATAGTGAACGATACTTTGCGCTTCGTCACTGATGCTAGCAGAAATCGCTTATCCGGGTAAGCTGGACAAGCGACGATTCTCCTTTATGATAGGGGTTCCTTGTAGGTGTACGTCGCACGAAGAAAAGTGCTTCATCTCTGGTGCTGGGGTTTTGATGGTATGCGACAAGCTCTGAGACCCTTCCCATGTGGTTCATCACGAGACGGAGCTTGAACGGGGAACTGAAGTGTTTGAGAGCCTGGTCAATATGACGACGAAGGGACGTAGACAGCCACTTGCTGGTGCTTGGTGCCACAGTGCCACCTTCAGCCTTGCTCAGGAGTCGGATATCCGATGGCGCTAGCCTCTAAAGTAGTAAAGTGTGTGCATAGCCTTGAAAGGATAAACCAATCACGGTTTGCATATTTCCCCCCTGGTCCCCTGGATCGGCCCCACCCGCCTCCTGTATTTCTTCTCCTACTCGTGCGACACTCTATTCGACTTCTTACTCAACCAACCACGCTTTCTTGGCCGGTCATCGTCTTTGGTTTCATGCTGGATCTGCGCTCGGTTTTGCTCATCCTGGACCATATTCTGAGTTGGCCTGCGCGAACCGCAACCCTCCGGTGACCCTACAATTTCCTGAGAAGACGGCTAATGCTAACGCTTCAGGATGGCCACTCCGCTCGTGAAAGAGCATTTACATGGCCTTCCCTTCCCTTCTGTGCATGTTCTGTCCTCTTTGCTTCTTCTATTCCCATCAACTCTCCGTCACTCCTTTGAGCATTTGCTTCAGACGTCCTAGAGACGTCAGCCACTCTTTATTCACTTCAGACCTGCTACAGTCACTCATTATCCCCAAACACAAATTGATTTTTGTTTACCAAGCGGGTTGAACTCGACATAGAGGATCGCTCAATCCAAAGCAGAAAGAAGTTTTGACAACTTTCCAGAAGACGCGATAGAGAAGAAGAAACTCCTGACGAGACATACGAACTCCGCGAAACAATTACGATATACCCCAAAATGCATTTCCAGACCCTAGCACTCGTGGCTTGCTTGACGTTGGCCCAAGCTCGCCCTGACGAGTCCACCTATCGACTTCCTAAACGTCAACTCAACGATGTCCTCTCCTTGTTAGGCTTAGGCACGAGCTCGAGCTCGAGCTCGGGCACGGGCTCAGATTCAGGCTCAAGCTCAATCTCAAGCTCAGAATGGTCCGACTGGGACGACTGGTCAGAAACCACCACGTCCAGAGCAACCGTCCAAACCTCAACGACCCGTACATTGGCACCACCGAGCATAGTGACCAGTACCACTCCCAGCTTCAGCCCCAGTTCCACAACCACCACCACCACTACCACGACATCAAGTCCTAGGGATATACCCACTTTCACTCCCACCACGACAACAACAACAACAACGACGACAACGACAACGACAGTGGCGTCTCCTTCAACCACTACTACTACCTCATCCTTCAGTCCGTTTATTCCAACCTTCACCACCTCATCATCCACCACGACGTCCACCTCGACAACGACATCGCCCACCACATCGACCTCGACGACTACAACCTCAAGCGTGGTTATCGATGTGCCCACGACTTCGTCCTCTACCACTACATCCTCCAGCTCGTCGTCTACCACCACTTCGACAACTACATCCACTATCCCATTTGTTGAGGTTGCACCGCCCTTGTTGTCATCGACCACAGTATCTGTCAACACAGTTACTGGAGCCATCACCACGACAACAACGACTCCGGCGACAACGACGACGACGACTGTTGTTGATGATGCAAATAACAACAATGTGGTCGACCCGTTGCCGGTGCCGACTCCATCAACGTCCAGCACTGGCCTCACTGTGGCTGCTGCGACGGCGGATGTCGCCTCTACCGATGTCGCATCGGTTGCTGCAGTTGCCGCCACTACCGACACAGGTATCCCTTGGTCAGCGTGGGCACCATGGACGGTGGAAACCAGCACAGCTGGCCAAGAGGTTGCCGCGGTGAGCACCACTGTCGAGGAGACGACCTTTACCTTGACTATGGGGGCTGGAGAGTCAGCGTCCGTGGTCACGACCACCATGCACCTGACGAGGACTTTGACCCAAACGAGCACGATATACGCCACCCTCAACCTACCATCGCCGACTCCTGCAGACCTCAACCAGGTGGCTGCCGCGAGTGTTGACGTGGGTGCCCAAGGTACTACGACTATCACGTTACAGTCTACCGTCACCGAGACAGTCACTGTAGCCCCTGTGCAGACTCCTTGCAGTATCCAGTACATTACTGTCACGGAGGTCTCGCAAAGCACCATCACCGTTACGGCCACGCCAACGGTGGCAGCAGCGGCGATTGAAGTGTCGACTTCAACGACGAGTACCACTACGAGCACCACCAGTACGAGTACAAGTACAAGCACGAGCACGAGCACCAGAATCAGAATCAGGACCAGAACCAGCACGAGCAGTACCACGAGCACCAGCACAAGTACGAGCACGAGCACAAGCACAAGCACCAGCACGTCGACTATCGGCGGCGAGACGCGCTTTGTGCGGACGAGCTCTGGATTCACGACCATTTCCAGGTCTGCCACCACCACGTCGCTGTAGCCATGGGAGAACAATACTGGGGAGGAGTCGTGCGAGCCACACTTCTGACTACGAATGGGGGGTTGCATGAGGCTTGAGGAATGAAGACATGGGGAGAGAAAGAGAGAAAAGATGTTGTATTTTGATCGATTGCTGTACAAAACCAGAACGCATGTGTGAGGCTTTTTATGTTTTTGTTCTTCCAAGAGAAGACTCGGAGGGGAGGGAGGTGGGATGGATAGAGAAAGACGGGACAATTGATACCACGAACCTGAGCCCAGATGCCTGTTTTTTTTTTTGTTTTTTTTTTTGGTTTGCAAAGTCTTGCCATGACAAACAATCTTGATATGAATTCTCTGTATATACCCAAAAATTGAAAACTTTGAAAATGTATTCGAGTTTGAAAAATCAAGATGACGACGGGTAGTTGTGAAAATCCCACGTGGATATTCCCGTGGACCTGTATGACCTCCCAGGACATTGTGGGTACCAGAGAATGAAGCATCCCCCATTGTATTGCCTTGCCTTGGTCATGCTTGTCTCTGCGCCGCAAACCAGCCAAAGCGTCTGCTAAGCTTCCTGGTTGTTTCCCACTGGGCCAAGCTTCTACCAAAAGAACGCCACCACCAAGTCCGCCAGTCGGTTCCTTGCCCCGCATTAATGATGACGATGACGACGAGGTTCTGGCACTAAACTGTTTTTGGGGAGAGATATACGCCAGTAACCTACCCTAGATGGCTAGGTACCATCACACTCACTCGCTCCTTCCTCCCAAACACTTTTGACACACACGGGCTGAAAAACGCTGCTGCTATGACGCACACCACGAGGAAATGACGTCGTCAGATCTTCCCTCAGCAACAAGATGAGGATGGAGGGGATCGTCCAATGCCCCTCCAAGACCCAATGGCATCTGCTTCGCTAAGTCGATACCCAACACATGGTTCATGGGGACCCTTTCGATTGCAAAGGCAAAAGAGGGAAGAGGAGGGGGACGGGTGGGTGTTGTTATTTGATCAACTCCGTAAAAAACCAAGTAAGTAGGTACTAGTAGGAAGGTATTCATATATTTGTCCACCTCCCTCTCTACCTCCCCTCCTTTGGGAGTTTATCATTCAGTCACCACCACACCATACGATCGTCCTGCAATCAACGATACACAACCATCACCATAAGCCGTCCAACAAGACAAGAAATCCTGTCTCTCTTGTAAAAATCCTATCCTGTACCGCACACCTCACCTAACCTCACCTCACCTAACCTCACCTCACCTCAACCTGTGAGCTATCAAAATACAAGACAATCATACAAGAAATCTGTGCCTCTCCCAAAAAAAAACGAAGATGGAAACGGCAAAGAACCTTGTCAATCATGTTATGGGGTATAACAAGGAGGATGTAAGTGTTACAACCCTTTCCCCCACTGAAAAATCTCAATTGACAATGGCTC